TATATATATATATATATATATATATATATATATATATATATATTCACGACTAATAAGATGTTGCTATATTTAAACGAAATTTATATAGATACGTTAAATATCATTTAATAAAAATTAAGATAAATAGATAAAAATGATTTAATGGGAAGTGATTTAATAAAGTTTGAGGTAAATGGGTAAAAGAACAAGTCTTAATCTCATCTCTCCCTAATTTTTCTTTTTTTCTTTTTTCTTTTTCTCTTTTTACTTTTTTTCTTTTTTCTTTTCTTCTTTTTTCTTTTCTTCTTTTTTCATTTTTTGATGGAAGATTTGATGAGATTTTTAGCTCTTAAAAAAGCTGGTATAAAGCTGCAAAACCAAAGATAACAGTTATGTGTCTAATAATGCTGTTTATCAATGTGCTATTTAACTTTAAGTTCGATACAAAGGCCAAGTAGAAGAAAAAAAAGTGTTGGTTCATGTCAACAAGATCGGAGTCGCGGCCAAAGAAGCATTATTAGACGTGAAAATCAGCACTTGCAATACATTGTGTTCTAAGACCGGTTTTCATAGAGTTATAAATTATTTAAGATCTTTCGATTGAACTGAGCATATAATTAATTACAAACTTTACGAGCTGTTATTCGGCTGTTTGGATCGATATTACTTGAATAAAATAATCTAATAAACACAGATACAAATTGATTATTAACTTTCTGAATATAAATGAAGCTATAATTGTATGTCGAATGATGACAAACTATGAATGCCGGTCTAAATATTTCGACTCGGGTATTTTTTATTCTCGGTAGAATCGTTAAATGTGTTCGTTGAAAACGGATATTTCTTGTATAATAAGTTTGGCATACCTTGAAAATACGATAATGTATCGGTGCTCACATCCCAGCGTCCTACGTCCTACGTCCTCTGTCCTGGCTTCTCGATCCGATATCCTTCGTCGTGACACTGACACTGACACTGACACGATTCGATCGAAGATGCACGTGTTAAATAACGCGATGCCGACGAGAGACTAATTAAGTATCTCACAAGGAATACAGTTTAATCACCCGCGAGGAGTAATCAATAATGCACCGATACACATAGTCCGTAGTGTGTGTGTCGCGCGCGCTCGCCGATCCTGAACTGAATGATCCGGAAAAGTCCACGAGACACAACAGTAAAGTCGAAGGTCTCGAATGTTTTGATTGGCTGGCGCTCATTCATAAGCGAGGACCGTTGGTGCTGGATGGAGATAAGTTTACATTTGTGGTACTCTCGCGCGTCGCATATTGTTTACTTCTGTAACCGAACGTTACGTTCCATTTCCAAACGAACCGCCTGAGAAAAATGTCAAGAAACAAAAAGTGTTTAAAGAAACGTAATAAAAATAGACAAAATTAAATAAATTTTTTATCTGTCTAGTACCTTTACGTTAATATGTCGGTCGACGCAAGGAAATCTTTTACACTCGAGAGGCGGTCCTCAGTCCATTTCATTTGATGTAGCAACTCGAATGGCGAGTGAAAAGCGATAATAACTATTTGATCCCGATAATACTGAAATAGATTCATTAATTTATGTATGATTTATTTTTATGTTAGCTGTAAAAAGTTTTATCAACTTTTTATCAAAACAGCTTCAAGTGGCTAGTTCTCTATAGCGAAAAAACTATCGAGTGCAAGGAATTAAAAGACGATATTAGAACTCTCGAGACTCGTAGTAGATTCTAAATTTCGACTTAGATTCTTTCATATGTTTCTTCTATAATCTAAAGCTCTATTGACATTTAAACTTGTGCTTCATTAAAAGTTCATGACACTTCAAGAAACGTTGTGAGAAGCAGTATCGATAACTTTTCTAATGACACACACAATTCCGACAAATGTTGTGCATTAAATTTGGCATTACTATGTTTCGTCAGTCTAAATATAAAAAGTCGTACTGTACCAACTCACGTTTCATCTCATATTAACAGAATCAGAGTTAAACCTTTATTATATTTATCGAAATGATATATTAATTAATATAATTCAAAATGTATATGAATAATTTCTCTTTCTTTCTTGTTTTGATATTGATTCGATGTATTTGCCGCGGTAAGCCCACATTTGCCGCATTGTGCGGACAAAAGCTTTGCTCGCGTGACCTCCGTTTCGCGGGGCTTGTAACTGTCTTCGAAAAGAAACATCCTCAGATACCTCGCCGGCTAGCCCGAGCAATATGGATCGAACGAGGCCAGCTCGTCCCTCGTCCACGTCGGTTCATTCGCGACAATGTCGCATCGTGAAATCGAGATAGGCGCGCGCGATATTCGCACGCCTCGCGATTTACGAGTGGCGAAACGCGCGCACTGCAAAGCCTGAAATGCTTCCCGTGTCGAAACACATCCGCATCGGAGGCGCAAGATAGGACGCAGCCAGCGTAGCCGCGTGTTGTACCTTGCACAATATCGGAGACGAAAACGCGGATTTACGGCACCGGTGCCGCACGGCAACGGTACCACTCTCCGTGATTACACGGCAGCCATTACTTCCGGGGATTTGAAAGTATTGTTCCCTTCGTGACGAGAACTACTAATAGCTATCGCAGAAATTGTAGATAGAATTTCACCCCAGAGTACGCCCCCGCCCACCACCGCATCGCTGCGAATACCGCCCGATTGACAAGGAAACGAAACGAGACGCGCTTTTTTCATACTACTCGGAAACGTTGCTAATTGCCTGACACTCGAAACAAATTAAAGTAGGACTCTGACAAATCTAAATTTTATCTCCTCCAAGGGTGCTCCTCTTTTCCCTCTTCTCCTTTGCCTTCTTTCTCTTCCGTAGAGGCAGGAATTTTTAAGTATTCTTTCCGTGCTCGAATGTTTCGCGAAAAGCTTACGCAATTAGACCGGTATTGTGCGCGCAAACAACGACACGTTGTCGACGACGACGACGACGATGACGACGACGGCGAGGACGAATAACGGCAGCAGCATCACCACCGTCACGTCTACGTCGACTCGTCTACTACCGCACAGTGTGTTGCCCGCGAATTTACCGTGCTCCACATCCCCCGTGATGCATTCTCCACGTAGATACGTTACTACTATCCCGCTTCGTCGTCGACATACGGACAGAACGCTAACCGCTAACCACGTCTCTCGCCTCCCTCGAAATTCCGCCTGCCTCTCTCGCACGCCCTGCCCTTCGCCATCTGTCTCGTTCTCCCTCTCGCCCGCTCGCTGCATAGTCGGCTGGAGGGGTACGCGGTATTTCAACGAGTACCCGCAAAGCATGGCATCTCATTTACATGCATTAAGGAATAGATCGTTGCCAAGCGAGTAGCGAGGGAGAGGACGTGGGTGAGAGGAAGATAGAGAGGCGGAAGGGAGAGCGCGGTTGAACCGGGAAGGTTCGAGAGGGAAAGAGAAAGAGAGAGAAAGGGACAAAGGCAAAAAATAGAATAGAATTTATTGCATGTACTAGGAACAAAATCCTCTCGGAACACTGTATATATCACTGGACTATATATAGGTGGTAATCGCTAAGAAAAAGTATAAACCAAGACAAAAGTAAATGATTTATACCGAGGAAAGTAAAATAAGAAGGAAAAGAGAGAGGAAAAGAGAAAAAACGAAGAGGAGATCAGCAATTCAAAGCGCAGGGAGAAAGCGCGGTGGAAATGTAGCAGTAAAGAGAAATACAATACGCGTTGGACGCTTTAATGTAGAAACGTGTCGCAATGCGCGCAGTACTCGATACAAAGATTGCAGCGCGATCATTATCGAGATACGCGGAAAAATATGTTGTGACGTATCGATCGCGACGTGCTCGCGAGCTCGACTGCGAAATGGTAAATCGATACGAAGACATATACGTGTGTACATGTAAAATAAAAAAAAAAATCCGATCGCGAAAATATAAATATTTTCGGCGCCCCGGAATAAACGTGATACGATATCTGTTGCGTTTTGGACAAAAAAGCATAGGTGCCAGATATTTATCTAGTGATATATGATTGTGCCGCAGAAATATACGTGGAAATTCGGTTCCGCGAAGCCGCATCGGCGCTCCGCGGACTTTTATGCTCATTGATTGACGCGTAACAAATATTAGTTCTGAACATATTGGCTTTTAGCGGTTGTCCGATGTAACATCGCGATAGCATCGCCGTCGATTGTTGAGAAATTACCAAACGATCCTCGCGCCAGGAATCGCTGAATACTCCGAAGCGCGAGGATTCGCTGAAATTGAAGTAAAATTTTAACAGAGAGAAAGCTATATTCCAAGTCTCTCTGTTATTATAATCCCTGTTTTCCTTATAATTAATGAACACGATTTTTTTAGCTAATGGACGAGGCCAATATGTTATATTTGCAAGTCGAAATTATTTAACTCCACGAAGGAGAGTTTGTTGCATTTCTACGTTCATCGAACTTATGTTTCCAGATTCAATTTTTTACACCAAATGTCTTTCGAATTGTTTTTCATGGGATTGTACTCGTATCTGTTTATGTTAAGAGGAATGATAAACCTGGGAAGTATCCTATGTTTGCGCACACACTGTGGAAGATTCATGTATTTAATTAAACAAGACTAAGATTGAAATAATTCTGCGTCAGACGCGACCAAACTTTACGCGCGAAGAAACATTCGGTCTAGCGTGCGCTGCTCTTCGAGATACGGCGCACTTTGCATAATCGGTGCGTGAGGCTTTCACCCATAGGGAAGGGTTAAACCCGGAAGGACCTGCTCACATTAACGAAGTTAACGTCGCGTCGAGGGAGTGAAAATGGCGGGATGTCAGGCTACCCTCTCGAAGAAAACCAAACCAAAAACGCTTCCGCATTGTCGCGCTGCGGCAAACGGCCGTAATGTTCCGGCAAAGCGAATCGATGATAAAATAATTTAAAGGAAAACGTACTTTTATCTTATATTATATGCCACATGATTCGATGATGGCAAAAATACGAAGTCGTCGTCTCGAAATTGGAAGAATTATATATTAAGAACGTGAAGAGAGAGACTTGGTTAGATGACGTGTGGGAATCCGCTTGATTATATAACGTGGTTTGTAAGTTTGAAATGTTTTTAATGTATGGAATTAAGTATGAGGAGTCAAATAGGAAAAATAATGTAGGAATGAATGCGTAGATAGTATGTAAGTCAAAGGGCGAAACAAGGCGTTACGAAAGCAGGATTCAGAACGGTAAAAAGTATATAGGAATAGAAAAAGTTATGGTGTCATAAAGAACGAGTTGTAAGATATGGAAAGCTTCCTCTTGGCGATATAATTTGAAAGAAACCTACAGAGAATGAAGAAAAAGGCAAAAGAATCACTTTACGGAGTTAATAGCAAGTATGGAGTGAAGTAATGAAATTAATAAAATATGGAAGAAAATTAGAGGAAAAGATGAAGAAGAAATAAGGAGAATAGTGAAAGTTTAATTGACGCTTATGATGGATATAATTCGCTCCAGAATAAGACGTTTAAATTGAACAGCAACTCTCGGAAAGAAAGAACGAGAGAGAGAGAGAGAGAATTTAAATTTTCTCGATATCAATTACTATGTAGGCGTGGCAACGGTACGTGTGTGTAAAATAATAAAAATTTTACGCGGCATACTCGAACGTTCAGCAAGCCTGAGGCGCACTCAAGGGTTAAGACGGCACGTACGATGCGCCATTTCCACCCGCTCTCTTGCCACGACGAACTATCCTCCTCTTAACGCGTCCCACATGCCGCGAAGACGGGATCGTCGCGGAGTGTGAGCTAAGAGAGAGAAGGGGGAGAGGAGAGAAAGAGAGAGAGAGAGAGAGAGAGAGAGAGAGAGAGTTACGTTTCGATTAAACTTCTCAGACGGAATCGGGAATTATCGCCGTCGCGTGACGGTCGCCGAGCATAATTTCAGCGCGCGACGCGACTCGACGCGACGCGTTCCGCGGGGGGCAATAAGCGGAATTTCCGTCGTTACGGGTGCCGTAATGGATCGAGTCGATGAGCGGTTACGACCGCTTTCAGATAGAAGGCGGCGGCCCCCCTGCCCCCAACTCCCATCGAAAGGGTTGAAATTGTTCCCCACCGCGTTCCGGACTGACTGTTGTAAATTGCGCGCCTAACCGCGTGATTCGAACGTACCAATATTCGGTTTATGCGCTGTAAGTCGCGAGGATATTAATAAAATCGGCGAGAAAAAGAGGGAGAGGGGGAGCGATGTCTCCGTAATCTTCTGTCACCACACACAGAGAGAATTTTATAGTGAAAATTATTATAGGACTCTGTAGTAATTTGCGAGGAATAAATCGACATTCTGCACTAATTTACTGTATTTTCGTTTCATGTGTGTTTATATTTCAGGAACTAAAGTATACTGAAACGTGTATTGAAAAGTACTGAAAAGTATACTGAAACACTCATTATGTTTTTAGTGAAACCTGCTATGTTCCTTAGCAAGATAGACCGATAGTTTATTTCTGCTAAAAACAAGAAAAAACGAAGAGAATTTATACGAAAAAATTAAATAAATAAAAAGATGAAATATAAACTCTCTTTTTTAACATCCTTAATTTAAAAAAA